ATGGTACCTGGAAATCCCTTTCTGTCTAGTTAGGAGGAGGAAGGGTCTGATCAGGAATTTGAGATAAAGGCAGCAACTGGGAGAGTTAGTGGACAAAACTTGGGCTGGGTATCACCAGAGAGTGGAATGATTGTATGGAATTTTTTGTTGTAATGTTGTGAGGGGTCAAGCTGTGGAGTTTTATTGTGTGTGTAAATTGTCCACCATTGTTGGTGCTGTAATGATGTTACTTTCATTTTGGTGTGGGGAATGTTTTGGTGTAGGGAGAGGTGCCCATGCAGGAGCTGGTTCTGTCAGGAACTGTGGCCCACGGAGAGGACCCACACTGGCATGGGTTTGTCCTGAAAGACTGCAGACCAGGGAATTGACCCACATTGAGCCAGGAGAAATGTGTGAAGAGGAAGGAGTGCCAAAGGGCATGTTATGAACTGGTCATGACCCCATTCCTCATCCCCTCGCACCGCTTGGGTGGGAGGAGGTATAGTATTCAGGAATGCAGGCATGAAGTTGAGCCCAGGGTGAAGGTGGAGGTGTTTATAGCTTTCATCTTTGTGTCTAACCATTCTCTATTTCTATTTGGCAATATTAAATTAACTTTCACCAAGTCATGTTCACTTTGCCCATGATGGTAGACAGTAAATGATATCCCTGTCTTTACACCACCCGCAAGCTTTTCCGTCTCGTTTCTCACCTGCCCCACCAAGGAAAGGGAGCGAGAGCGTGGCTGGGTTGGCATATGGCAGTCAACCAAGCTCAACTCACCACAATCCTTTTTGGTGCCGGTACTGGGTCTGGTTGGGGTGGAGGTCGCTCTCTTCACAGCAGCCTACACAGTGCCGTGCTTCGCATTTGTGGCTGAGTCAGTGTTGGTAACACACTGGTGTTCTGGCTGTTGCTGATCAGTGCTCACACAGCATCAAGCCTTTCTCTGTCTCTTCCACCCTGCTCCAAAGCAAGGAGGCTGGGGGTGAGATGGACCTGGGAGAGGGTATAGAGATATTCCAGCTGACCGAAGGGACATCCCGCGCCATATGACATCAAGCTCAGCAACAAAAGCTCAGGGAAAGGTGGAGGAAGGGAGGACGTTAGTGAGTGTGACATTTGTCTTTGCAAGTAGCCATTAACCGAGCTGCGGCTCTGCTTCCCAGGAAGCAGCTGGACGTCTGCCTGTCGATGGCATGTAGTGAATGAATTCTTCATTTTGCTTTGCTTACATGTGCAGCTTTTGCTTTCCTTATTAAACTCCATTATCTCAACTCATGAGTCTTTTTTCCTTCCTTTGAATCTTTTTCTCTCCATCCCCCAGGAAAGGGGAGCGAGTGGAAGGCAGGGTGGATGCTTGGCTGCTGGCCAGGATCAGCCCACTACAGTATGCCGTTAGCATATGTAGATGATCACAAAGATATTGTGCATGTTGAGTTTCAGGACTTTTGCTGGTAAAGATAGGGGAGCCAAGAAGAGATGTAAGACCCCTTCCCCACCTTTACTGTCTCAGCATCGCACGCTGGCGTAGGCGAGAGCCGATCCCTGCAAGCGATGCAGAACTGGTAATCATGTGAGGAGCAAAGAGCTGGGCTGGTGGGGCACTGAGGGAGACGCTGCACTCTCTAAACAGGCGAGGAAACTACCCTGAGGCACAGACATCGCACAGGGGTTGCTGAACGGAGCAGGTAACCCGAGCCCAGCTCTGTGACTTTCTTTTAATATTAGATACCGTAAGGCGGCTGCCAGTTATCTGAAGAACAATTTCCTTTATAACTTGTAAAAATACCAGCTTCAAATGTCACTGGGTGATTTATTCTCATCCTGTATTTTGGGGAAGCCACAAAAGAAGGACAAGGATGTATGTCTTCAAAGCAATCTTCCCTAAATCGCCTTTATCATGCCAAACAATGACAGAAATTTCTTGTTCCTGTGTACAAAAGGCATGTTGTGATTTCCCTAGCTACCACTGCTGGGTCCAGGGAAGAGCAATCTTCCAGCCTCTCCTCTAAGAAAAGACAATTTAGGCAGAGCACAGTGCCACGGGATGGGGGACACGGGAGAGGGGACCGTGCAGGCAGATGAGGCTGATCATGTAAGAAAAGAAAACTCAGCTCCCAACAAGCTAAACTCAATTCCAGTGACAGCCGAAAACATTAAGCATCATCCAGGATGATGCTGCCTAGCCACAGGCAAAAATGCTCTTTCTGGGGAATACACTCAATCGAGTGTCATTAGAAAGGAGACATAAAAGGTTAACGAAATCAAAGTAAATGTGTTTGAAACTTCAGGCCAATTGTCTCAAATAAATGTTTCGGTAGCCCTGCGACAGCTGTCAGATTGGGTGTTGTTTATAATCAGAATAACCTAGACCGACAGGTATGCGACCATCACATTTCTGGGAAGTTGCATGGAACTACATAAACAGAAATACTTGTTTTATCTCGAAATTTTATATAACTTTCAATAAACCCTCTTCTCTGAAATATGCCATTACAGACAGCCTGCTTTTCTGAGCTGCTTTCCATCAACTCATCTTCTTTGTCTTCTCTCTCAGTTGTCTGTGATGTGTTTGAACAGGGCTCCATATAGAGATTTGTTTAATCAAATTAAAGACAAAGCCTTTTTCAGATACAAGCAAGTGCTTCCAGTTAGTTCCCCACCGATCAAATACTTTGGCTTTGTATTTTGTTGTTCAAATCTTCCCAGTTAATAACAATGCCATCTAAGATTAACACCAGCAACATTTCTAGATCAGGTTACCCTAAATAATTTTGTTGGGTGTTTTTGCAACAGCAGGAGAATATTTGCAGGTTTCTCTGTATTTTTATATAACCAGCATGAAATCCTGTTGCTAAGCAGAGAGCAGAATCAATATAGAAGGCAAGCCATACCAGCTCATCTTTGAATTGCTGTAGACATTTCACTTTCTTCTCTTCTCTTTTAACGGTTTTCTTCTGTAAAAATCTGACATGACTTTGTGACTAGCATTTAGTATTTCACCATATGCTAGAATGTACCACATAAAAAGT